ACTTGTTGACTGAAAAAAATGCTTCGATAGTACTCACGAACACCAAACGTAAAGTACTGCGAGGCAAGACGAAGAAGCCCCGGATAAGTGATGAAATCTAAGGTATCTTTCAAAGAAAAATTTAGGCCAGAGTAGCCCTCGCGTTTAAAGGAGAGTGTTGCGCTAGGACCGAGCCAAACTTCACCATTAATTCTTGGGGTGAAATGAACACCCAAGAAGGGGAAGCGGCTGTCAGGAACGGGATAAATATTGGTAGACACAAGGGAAGACATTTCGGGCTTTAACCGAAGATATTCGCCACGGAATGGAATTATTTTAGGGTTCCTCGTGCAACCCGATAGTGCGGCAATACGATCCGACTGGAGACCAGCACACGTTATTAGGTATTTACAGTTTATATGTTGATTCCCAGCCTTCTTGTTAACAATGCGAATGGGATACTGTGCTGAGTCACCATTTTCAAGGATCTTGCAAACTTCAAAACCCAGAAGTAATTTTCCTTTATTTCTGACGAAGTCGTCCGCTAGCGATAAGGATATGACCCGATAGTCTACAATGCCTGTATTGGGAGAGTAAATCGCTTTCAGACCCCGACAGGCAGGTTCGATGCTTTGAATATCCTTTCCGGGAACAAGAGTGACACCTGGTACCTTGTTTTCAAGTGCTCTTGAATAAAGATTATCAAGCGCCGACAATTCCCTCTCGGAGACAGCTACAATCAGCTTTCCGGACCTCTTGTAGGGTATTCTCTTCTGTTCACAGTATTCGTACGTTTTATTCAATCCTTCTAAACACAGCTGGGCCTTTAGTGAACCAGGCTTGTAATAGATTCCAGTATGAATTACACCACTGTTCCGGTAAGACTGATGGAGGCTTACTTCATGTTCTTTTTCCAAGAGGCAAAGCCTTAATTTCGGGTAATGTATACTTATATGTCTGGCCACTGCTAGTCCAATTATTCCACCTCCAACCACAACCATATCAAAACTATTTGTGCAATTATTATTTGAAATGCATCTAAGTAAATTCATAGCAGGACTTGTGGAGGTCGTCGGGAATCCGATCTGTAGTTTCAGCATTGTTTGACGAAGATAGTTGTAATGTGTCGAATGAAGGGATGTGCAGCTGAACACACTTGAGACGATGGTATTCTTCGTAATGCCTTCCTTCTGCTTAGTTTACTGTAACTGTTCCGATAGATCCTGCAAACGTGTAGGTTTTAATCCCAGTGAGAATGGTCAGACGGAGACAACGGGTCCACCAACAACGGTAATAAGGTTTGTTCGAACATAGCATAAATGTATTCATACAAGGAATGGAGTACCGAGAAAGTAAAGGGAAAAACGGTTCATTTATGGAGAGCAAAAGAAAGGACACAATAAAAAAGGTAAATGGTACACAAAGGTTGCTCAAGTCACCATAACCATGAGTTACTCGGGCGCGAAATTGAAAGGAGCGAGAAGTATAAATAGGGAGGCTGCTGGGGCACTGTTAACACCAAAATGTTTATGATATCACGACAATACCATGTAAGGTGAGGATTATAGTGAAATCATTAATAAAATATATTTTCCCCATAAGTATAAACTCTACAACCACAGGCCCCTGTGGTTGTAGAGTTTATACTT